AGTACTTCACTGGGATCTCGTGACGTTCTCTCTCTTCACCGACATACACGGCAAAGCATCCTCTTCTCGCTAGCTTCTTAACAATTCCGAACTTCTCGACGGGCCAACGCGGTTTTCTCTCAAGAACGGTCATCGGAACTTTTCCGACGAAGAATGGCGACTCCTCAGGGAATTTGAATCGATAGCCAGTTGGAGAGATCTCGAGACCGGAATTACTGTGCAGTTGTTAGAGGCTCATCGAATGGATTATTTATAGATGGATCGGAAGAGAGAGTGTAAACATTGTGGAATTATATTAGGATTCGGTTTACTTTTCTTTATTAGAATGGGAAAGAACAAGCTTTAAAAGAAATTGAAGGTTTGCAGCTCTAGTGGGAATTGTAGGTTTGCAGCTCTAGTGGGACTGTAAAAACCGGATAGAGATGTCCAAAACTAACCACGGGCAGAATATAACTAAGTCCTCTAATGCCAGCTGATTTTCGCAATCTAAGTCATTCTGACATTAACATATTCCAAATTGTTGTTGTTGACATCTTTTATTGAATTACAAAGAAGAGAAAATCATGTACAATTATCTTGAATTTTTTTTTGGTCGAACAATTATCTTGAATTGATGTACGGCCTTTTTGGTCTCTCCTTTGACGAAAAAAAAAAATTAAAGTATCTTAAAGTAAAAAAGAACCATTGTAATAGTAGAAGAAGGAAAAATAAAAATAAAAATATGGAAAATAAAAATAATTTTCAAACGATATTTCTTTGTTGCTAACGATTGAATAGTATATTTTCGAGGTAAAGTTTTTGATGGAAAGAACTCCTAGCGATAGGGCGAAGACTCCTTTCCTCTACCGTCCAAAAAGTAAAGAAAAGGTCGTGCGGATAGAGGATCCACTTCCTTAATTATTTCGATTTCAAACTTGTAAAGTTCAAATTCTTGCAAGTGGTGGAATCCTTATCCACCCAGTCCCGCCATAGGCAAGGGGAGGGTCCCCTTACAAGAGAGAGATCGACGGTCATTCTGTGACGGCAATAAGCGGTTGATCTTTCTTGTATTGACAGAACTATTTAGATTGCGAAAAGCGATTGATATCTGTATCGACAGAACGATTTAGATTGCGATAGGCGATTGATATATGTATCGACAGAACGATTTAGATTGCGATAGGTGGTTGATCTCTCTTGTATTGATGGCAATGGCTCTATTTGTTTCACGAAAAATGTGACATTTCTAGAAAATGTTTTCTAGAAAGTAACAATATTATTCTGTATTTGACTAAAATCTGAAAATGAATTGAAAAATATTTTCCGTCGTTTGGTTAGGATAATCCAATTTGACTTTTCTAAATAGGGCGCAGCCAGGAATTTGAGTACTCTCACCAAGGGCCCATGTTCGGCCTCGATGGACCTTGACCCAGGCACGAGCACAGGCATCGATTCTAGGTCCAGTCTCGATGGACTGGGGCATGTGGGCCCGGGCCTAGCCTTGATGGATCCGAGCGTGGGTGTTGAGGACCTGAGTAAGGACACCGGAGTCTCGAGCTTGACCTTGATGGACCCAGGCTTGGCTTTGATAGACAGGGGCACGGGCACCGGGGTCCCTAGCCTGGCCTCAATGGACTCGGGTGCGAGCGCCAAAGTCTTAGACCAGACCTTGATGGACCCGAGGACTCGGGCATAGGTGCCGAGGTTTTGGGCCTAGCCTCAATAGGCCCGGGCCTGGCCTTAATAGACACATGCCCAGCCTCAATGGACCCCAACACTGGCACTAGGGTCTCGTAGTCAGCCTCGATGCACTCAATCTTTGTGGCAACACAAGCACGGAGCACGGACACCAAGGACCCAAGCTCGGCCTCGATGGACCTAGGCACGACCTCGATGGACACGGGCCTGGGCACCAAGGTCGTGGGCTCGACGTTGATGGACCCTACCCTTGGCGCGGGGTCTCAGGCCTAGGCATTGTGGACTTGAGCCCGGCCTCAATGGAACTATGCCCAGGCACTAGGGATCCAAGCACGAGCACTAGGGTCTTGGGCCCCGGCATTATGGGCTTAGGCCAAGGCATCGAGGAGCCAAACAATGATACCGAAGTCTAGGCCAAGCCATCGGTGCTAGTGTCCCAAGCCCAACCTCTGTGGACTCGAGCTCGAGCACCAGGGTTCCAACCTCTTTGGATTCGGGCTTGGCCTCGATGGACCCAAGTAGACCCGACCCCGCCCTCTAGACCCGCTACCAAGGGCCCGGGAATAAGCGTTGGGTTCATATGTCCAAACGCAGAGTTTCTAATACAAACGCCGATATCTAATTATATTTTGGAAAATGATTTTCAATTTTTTAAAGAGGTAATCGTTTTCTTGAATTTAAACATAGATTTTTCATTGACTCATTTTTCTAAGTGATCCAAATGAAGGAAACTGTTTTCTTAAAAAATATTTTCTGCGAAATAAACGGAGCCTACATTACACCAAAAAAGTTGGAGCATCCAATGCAAAAACTAAGCAATCTCAGTTTTTCTTGGTAGCATCTTGTATTTTGCATCTTTTTCTCCTCTCTTTACGAAGTGGACAAGATAATTAGCAAGATTGCTACATTTTATCCCAATTCCTTATCTTTTAGAAATAATTCTAAATATTTAGGTGATTTTGTTGGATTTAGTCATGATTACAGGCAAGGCAGTCGCTACGCACGTGACTATAGTTGGGTGAGTTGTGCACGAAAAGAAAATGAGTAGTTATTATGAGGAAGTTGAAGGGTACAAGAGGTTCAACGAAAATAACTACCCATTAACCAATAAGCTACCCTATGCATAAAATTAACGTTTTTTGTATTTTTTGTTGTTGTGAAAATCATATAAACTTCAGAATATTTTAATAAATTTGGTTTGACAACAGAACTTTCGCTTTATAATATTACAGATTATCTTGTTATATTTTACTTAAAGCTTTATTTAGGGTTTTTCTAGAGTTGTCCAGGGTTTTAAGTTATCAAGAAATCTTATCTCTTTAAAAGTAAAGATGAAAAATTGAGTTTTGTCTTCTTCTTTTTTGGCGCTTTCGCTTTTTTGTGAAACATGAGTTAAATAGACTTCCACAAATTTGCTTTAAAATTTCGAGTTATATAGCATATACCATATAATTACATAAGACCCATAATTCACAATATTTCTAACGATACCATTAGTTGTCAACAAATGTTAGATGTGATTAATTAAGTAAAATCTTTTGCACATATAGTCGAAATTAACAGAGGGTAAATTTGTCACATGTATATCGATTTGAGGTTTTTTGTGGTAAAAAAATTAGTTCAGGGTAAATTTATCACATGTGTACCAATTTGGGGTTTCTCGTGATATTAACCCATAACTTTATTTGCATAAGGTACCATATACAATCTGTATTGACGAATCGGTGTGTCTGTATTTGTCCAATTCAATCCTCGCATCAAAACCTCCCCTAATTGATGTATCTAATGTCGACTCCTTCATTGATCACGAAGATGATATGGACTGCCTCTCTCTATTGTCACATTTTAGAAAGTTCGTAGCTTCACAATTGATCGTTCTTTAGCGATAAGCTACATATACAACAGTATCCGAATCTTAACAAATTAAACTTTTGAGGACAATAACGTGCCCAACATTGTATTACAGCCAAACATCAATGCTTCATGTCCAGTTTGACCTTTCCCACATATAATTTTTAAGGTTAATACCATGAAAAACCTCAAACGGGTACACATATGATAAATTTATCCTAAACTAATTTTTTTACCACCAAAAATCCCAAACGGGTACACCTGTGATAAATTTACCCCAAACTAATTTTTTGACCAAAAAAAACTTCAAACTGGTACATCTGTAACAAATCTACCATCCATTAAATTGAATTAATACAAAAAAATCACAAACTAGTACACCTAGGACAAACAGAAGGTAAAACCCAAAATTGGTACATTCGTTAGTTGCCATGTGTCATTTAATTAAATAATTTGACAGTAAAATTTAACGGAAATTAACGGAGGGTAAATTTATTATAGATATACCAGTTTGGGGTTTTTGGTGGTCAAAAAATTAGTTTGAATTAAATTTATCACAGGTATACCAATTTAGAGTTTTTCGTGATAATAACCCTAGTTTTTATCTTTCTTATTCCCCGTTCGTCAAATACATGTACTGTTGTACATGCGAGATGGAGTGTCAAACTGATCTCTTACTGCCAATTTGTATGGTTTGTTCGAGTCTCATGTTAATGTAATCTCTCTTACTGCCAATTTGTGTGGTTTGATCGAGTCTCATGTTAATGTAGTCTCTCTCTATTTGATAGCGAAACTTTTCGAGTTGAATATTCTATTGTGCTACCAGAACACAGGTCAAAAGTGTGAATTTTGACACTATTTATAGTACCAACAGTATCTTCTATTACATTAAATCAGACAATGTTATTGTTATTGCTCGAAAAGATTTTCACAATAAAATCTTGCACCAAATTCTACAGTAACAACGGTTTATGTGTAAATTGAGGTATACGTTTGTTTTAGTTGGGTTATGGACATTTGCTATAAAAAAATATGCACGTTGTCTATCGGAGGAAGACGATAACGTTTTGTTCAAAGATCACTCGTGTCAAGATGAAACCCTTTTTGGTAACACACTCGGCATTCGATCCATTAGAAAAGAAAAATCGAATAACATGAGGCACGTTAGGAATCTCTTTGTACAAGTGCTCTTAGATGGATTTTGACCTAGGATGAACATCTCCATGGCAAGAAATTGTCATACAATGCTGGCTTATGCTAGTTTTGACTAGCAATTCATCACAAAAGAAACCCATCAATAACAATACCTGCAGAGAAAAATTAGATACTTCATCCATTCATTCCTTGGTGAAACATTAAATTATAAAACAAGGTCTTCACGTGTACGTTAGAAACGAAGAAACAAAGATCAAGTCTTATACCACTACAATGAAATTACTAAATGACCGAATTGGGTGGATATCGGCATGTACGATCCCTTCATTCTTGATCGCAAGATTACGATCGGTCTCTTCTACTTCGGCCTTGGCCAGTTCAAGAACCCAATTGAGCAATTCAGACGAGCAACACAAGTAGAGGCATGTGCGCTCGTCGAATTCATCTTGGCACTGATTAAGCAAGGCTCGCAACATTATAGAATTCAAGTACTTCACTGAGATCTCACGACGCTCCGTCTCTTCACCGACATACACCGCGAAGCATCCTCTCCTCACTAGCTTCTTGCTGGTTCCCAACTTCTCGACGAGCCAACGCAATTTTCTTCCAACGACGGCCATCAGAGCTTCCCAACGGAGAATGGTGACTCCTTAGCGAATTCAATCTCTGACCAACAGGAGAGATGTTGAGATCGGAATCAAAGGTACAAAGTGTTGGTGACTCGGGGAATGGATTATTTATAAAGGGATGAGGAAGAGAGAGGATAAATATTGTGGAATTAGAGTAGGATTAGAATTTCCTTTTCTGTTTAGATTTGGGATGAAGAAGCTTTTAGTTTAATTGTATTGGAATTGTTAAAACCGGATAGAGATTATAAGTTCTCTAATTCATCTGATTTTCGCAATCTAAGTCATTCTGACATTAACGTTATTCAAACTGTTGATGTTGCAATCTATCACTACAAAAAAAGCCGGGTTTTGCCACGAATTTTGCCACGAAAAATTTCGACAAAATTCGTGGCAAAATGAATTTGCGACGAAATTAGCGACGGAAAAAAATTCATCGCTAATAGGCCGTCGCAAAATTTTACCACGGAAAATTCCAATTTTCGTGGCTAATTTGCGACGAATTTTTTTCATCGCAAAATTCGTCGCTAATTATTCGTGGCAAAATTCGTGGCTAATTTTGCAACGAAAAATAATTCGTCGCAAAATTCGTCGCTAATTATTCGTGGCAAAATTCGTGGCTAATTTACCACGAATAATATTCGTGGCAAATATCCGTCGCTAATTTGCCACGAATATAATTCGTGGCCTATCCGTTGCTAATTTGCCACGAATATTTTTTGTGGCAAATATCCGTGGCTAATTTGCCACAAATATTATTCGTGACAAAAATCCATCGGTAATTTGCCACGAATATTTTTCGTGACAAATATCCGCGGCTAATTTGCCACGAATATTATTCGTGACAAGAATCCGTCGGTAATTTGCCACGAGATCTATTCGTGGCAAAAGTTGTCGCTATTTTTTTGATTTATTTTTTGGTCGCGAAATTGCGACGAAATATTTTCATGGCAAAAAGTCGTTGCTAATTATCACGTGGCTAATTTGCCAAAAAAAATTTTTTTTTGCGACGAGTTTATTCGTGGCTAATTTGCCATAAAAAAATTCGTGGCTAAATTCGTGGCTAATTTGCCACTGGAATTATTCGTGGCAAAATTCGTGGCTAATTTGCCCGCAAATTTTTTTTTTTTATCAGTATTTTGCCACGAAAAATTTTGACTATTACGGCCGACATTATTCGAAAACAAATTTGGCGACGAATTTTAATGAATACTTTAGCGACGAATGTTGTTTAGGAACGATTTCGATTTGAAATCGTATTAACATTGATAGAAAATCATAGTCAAGACAAGAACAAACCCCAAAAAGAAAGAAATGAAACAATGTTCTAAATTAGCAAGTTCGCAAACTGTTGTGGCAAACTATTGATCTTGCCAAGAAGTTCTTTCACGTTGTGGCAAACTGTTGCGGCAAACTATTGATTTCCAAGAATCGAAGTCCTGTCCATCTGCAGCGCAAACATCACAATATCAAACTCCTAACCCCTGTTAATTTTTTCACATCTATTCAACAGCAGAAGCACAAAGATATAAGTACCTCTTGAAAATTTAAACTAGCCAGGATCATCATCATCATCAGCATCATCATCATCATCATCAGGAATCTCATTATCATCATCATTGTGGCCATCACCTACTGGATTAGTAGGAGGTACAGGAGGACCGTCATCAGCTTCGAGGTTGAGGTGTTGCATGATCAATTGCAAACGTTGGTTCACTCCTTTCATTTCTTCGTCCTTCTGTACAAGTAATTGTTTCATTTCTTCATCTTTCTGTACAAGTAACTGTTTCATTTCTTCATCCTTCTGTACCAGTAATTGTTTCAAGCGGTTCAATTCTTGGTCCGTTCGCTCCTCGTGTTGTGCCCTTAAAAAAGCCGCACTGGACGATGAAGTTGCAGCAGCCGGCGTTCTGTACATCCTTGACAAGGATCCCATCCCAAATATTTGACCTCTTCTCATTCCACCCGATGCCTCCATCCATAATGCCATATGTCAACCGATGGCTCGGACGCAGCAACACCATCACCATCACCATCACCATCACCATCACCATCACCACTAGCAGCAGCCGTGCTCATTACAAGTTCATCATATTTGTCCTACATTAACAATATTAATAAAAATAAAAAAAAACTTCATATATATAAATACAAAATATAACCTTACATACCTTAATAACTTTTGCTCGATTGCCGGTCCATGTCTTATCTTTTTTCTGAAAGGTGCGTTCAAATGTAGCCATAAATGTTGGTTCCGTCCCCAATTCATCTGCCTACAAAATATAAACATAAATGAAACGAGTAATTATTGATTTAACTTTACAACATGTTTAAAAGACTTACCATTCTTTTTCTATGCTCCCCGATATTAATAGAGCCCCCAGCATATGTGGCAGACCCTTCACTAGAACTAGAAGCTCGATTCTTCTTATTAATTTCACTGATTTGCTTATGCTTTTCAGTGTCCCAAGTTCTTTTGATTTCCGCCCAATTGTCAGCTGTAATAAAATCCGGCTTTTCTTGTCTTCTCTTTGCTCTATTCATCACATTTCGCATGTGATCACCGGCTTTCTTCTTAAAAATTCATTTAACTTATTTCTCTTCCGCTTCATCCCACCTGAACTTCCGCTGCAAGCAATCAATAGAAAAATAATTGTACGCTCAGTATGCTAAATCGAACTTAGTTTGTGAGGAAATAAAAGGACAAAACTTACCTTGAACTCATTCCACCACAATTCCTTTACTTCTTTTGGAGCAGTGGTCCAACTACTAAACTGCCCCATCCAATAGTTATCGATTATTTTATTAAGTCTCCTCACAACATGCGTAGAATCCGTGAATCTGCAAACGGGTTATAACTTATTTCAACATACGTAGCATCCGTAAAGCATACAGACAATTCAGTTGACATCCATAATAATTCACATATATTTAAAAAAATGAAATACTTACGAATCTCCAAATGGGGCTATCATGAATCGGGTATCTTCTTCATAATTCGAGTGTTGTGTTGAAGAAGAAGGTGGAACCGAAGGCGATGGAACTGAAGTAAATTCAGTTCGCATTTGAGGGTCGGAGGAAGGGCCAATGTGTCCATGTACTAGTTGAGGGTTAGATAAAAGGGCAGGGGCAGGGGAAGCGGAAAGGGATGGGGATGAGGACGAGGAAGAGGAAAGGCCCGGTCTTCTTTGTGAAGCATCATCACGACGCATGTAACCTCCACGTTTATACTAAAAGGTGCAAGGTTAGACAAAAATAAAGAAAATTATGAACATATATTAAGGACACATAATGACGTACGTCGTGAAGCTTACCATTTTATTATTGAGAGCAAGAGAGATGGCCCCTGAAAAAAAGGAAGCTGTCCGGAAATGTGTACGAGCTAAATTTCTGGTCCTACAACGGTAAAAAAGGAAGAACTCATCTAACTGGTCAGGGTCATCAAATTTTCAGTTAATTTCTGTAATTCGACTTGTTTTAAAATTTAATTGCATGTTTTGAAAGCCTTAGAACTTAATAAGTTACACTTTCACAACAAATTTTATGATGCAAGTAAATCACTAAGTTCTGTTCAAAATGAATATATCAACTTCAACAAGAAAATCAATAAGTTTTTACCTCGAAGAGAGCCACTCCAGAAAACCCAAATGTCACGGAAATAGTTTTACCCCGATGGCCAAAGCTTCAACCTAGGCCAAAAAAGGTTTGGAAATAGTTTTCAAACCTAGATAATGATAAAATGACTCCGAAACGAAAAAAAAAAAAAAGCGGAAATGTCACGGAAAACACTATTCACCAAAATCATTTTTTGCCAAAAAACCCATCTAAACGACTCCAAAAAGCCAAAAAAATGGCTTGCATCACAGCCATAGGCAGTGTATTTCGATCAGCGGGCCGTTTCCACTTGACCGACCAAATTTCAGCTCATTCCGACCACATTTCACCTTATTTCGACCAAATTTCAAACGAATTTCAACTAAATTTCAACCTAAATCCGACCAAATTTCAACCTAAATATGAGAAATTGATTATGTTTCGTTCTGTTTCGTGGGCGAACGAAACAGATTAGGTCGTTTCGCCCACGAACGTAATCAAATTCGTGAGCAAAACAAAGAACCATTGCTTTCGCCCACGAACGTAATCAAATTCGTGGGCGAAACATAATGGTTCTGTTTCTGTTTCGCCCATGAATTTGATTCTGTTCGTGGGCGAAACAGACCCAATCTGTTTCACACAGAAGCGCCCACGAAAGCCAACACAGAAGCAGAAGCCGAAGCACAGAAGCGCCCACGAAACTGGTTTGTTTCGCACACGAATAGAACCAAATTCGTGGGCGAAACAGACCTAACTGTTTCGTCACGAACAGAAACGAAGCGGACCCAACACGGAAGCGAAGCGTAAGCGAAGCGGCACGCGGACCCAACACGAAGCCAGCCAACACGAGCGAGACGCATACCCGAACACGGAAGCCGGCCAACACGGAGCCGGAAGCACGAAGCTTAGCGAGCGAAGCACGAAGCTTAGCGAGCGAAGCGCGAAGTAGAAGCACGAAGCGAAGCATAGAAGCAGAAGCATAGAGCAGAAGCAGACCCAAACATAGACCCAACACATACATTGAACAGAAGCATAAGCAGACGCAAACACCTAGAAATAACGGCGAAAAGCAGACCCAACAGAAGCATACCGAACAGAAGCAGACCGAACACTCTCGGACGCCGCCGAAGAACCCAACAGAAGCAGACCGCGTGCTGGGTGTCCTCGCTTCCCAGCGTCCGCCGCCGAAGAACGCCAAGAATCGCGCCGAAGAATGCCGAAGAACGCCGAAGAACTGCAACAGAGACAGAGAAAGAGGGAGAAGACAGAGACAGACAAGAGACAGAGGTAAGGTGAGAAGATTGGTTCGATCGCGAGAGCAGAAAAGAAGAACCCTAATTTGTACCCGCTCATGAAGACGACGCCGTTTGTTGAAATTTCGCTAAAATTAACCACGGATT